TTTTTACTGGAAAATTTTGTTTTAAAACCAGAAAAATTCAACCAAAATGAAAACTTTGTTTGAACTTTCAATTTGGTCACACAATTATTTTGTCAAAATATGATTTTGGTGAAAAAATTGACCAGTAGAATTAAGCCTCCCCCAACTCCTAGGTGGCTATAAGTAGTAGTATAACATTGTTTGCAGATGAGGAAGCAGAGGGACAGAGAGAAGTGATTCAGGAAGGAGCTGAGAATAGGACCTACCTGTCCTGCCTTCAGGTGAAGTCAGTAGGAGTGCAGAATGGAGCCTAGGAGTCTCTACGGTGCTGATGAAGATTGACCAAGAAGAGCTGGCAAGGAGAGCTAATATTTGGCTATTTTGTGGGGTAAAGGCTAAGGTAAGTTCCAACCAAAAAAAAAGTGCTTTTGAAATATGTATTTGTTTCACAGTAGTACATTTGTGTGTCGTATTATTGAAGAGACACTTGTAACCCAGTGAAGTGCGTCCTCAAGATCATAACAATTGTAGCTTTTTACTAAATATTGTAACCTCTTAATTCTTTGGGAACTAATTACTTTCTACTAGAGTGGAGAAACTGGATTGTCTCATTTATGCTCCTTAATATGAGACAATAGGAGTAAGGAGCCACTGACTTTAAACATACCTCGTCTACTTTTATTTGCAATGGTAAAATGCGGTAATTAGTGTAAATAATGCCTAGATTTACTGTCCGTTACAACAAAAGAACATTGAAATTTTACTTCAATCCTTTTTTGCTGCTGAATACTCTGTTATAAGCCGTTGTGTCTTTGTTGCTTCCAAAATGTTTTTTGGATTGCATGCTTCAAAGAGAGCTTGACCTTCATTCATTGTAATTACTACAACGACATTTCAGAATTCGACACTGTCAAAGTTTAATCTTTACCTTTCTACCATGAAGAATGATCATCTGGTCTGTAGTGAGGCAAGTACAAAAGGATCAACATAATGCTTTCAGCTCTCAGAGTTGCATATGCGAGAGCGTTGCTGCATTCACTAACTTTTCATAACGCTAGCTCTGAACGGAACTCACCTGGTATATGGTCAGATTTTCTTTGCAGTGCTTTACCCATAGATGAACTGTCAATTCCTCCTTTACTTTGCCAGTGAGTTTGACCTTTGATGCTTGATCAAGTAAGGATGATGGTTTTTGAGAGGCTCGCTCTCTCTCTCTTCAGAGGAGATTTCTCTAGCATCTTATCTAATTCTGTAGTACAATAGTAAGAATCAGTTTCATTACCAGTGTGACAGACCCAGACCAGTGGGGTACAGGAGTCTGGTAGAGGGCAAATATACTGGTCACTGGATGAGTAGTTTTCTGTTCCCTGAGTGACCAGAGCAGGGGCTGCACTAGAGTAATCAGGAACCTGCTAGAACCAGTTAAGGCAGGCAGGCTAATTAGGACACCTGGAGCCAATTAAGAAGAAGCTTCTAGAATCAATTAAGGCAGGCTAATCAGGGCATCTGGGTTTTAAAAGGACCTCACTTCAGTTTGTGGTGTGAGTATGAGGAGCTGGGAGCAAGAGGCGCAAGGAGCTGAGAGTGTGTGCTGCTGGAGGACTGAGGAGCACAAGCGTTATCAGACACCAGGAGGAAGGTCCTGTGGTGAGAATAAGGAAGGTGTGGAGGAGGCCATGGGGAAGTAGCCCAGGGAGTTGTAGCTGTCATGCAGCTGTTTCAGGAGGCACTATAGACAGCTGCAGTCCACAGGTCCCTGGGCTGGAACCCGGAGTAGAGGGTGGGCCCGGGTTCCCCCCAAACCTCCCAATTGACCTGGACTGTGGGTTCTTCCAGAGAGGAAGGTCTCTGGGCTGTTCCCCAACCCACATGGTGAATGTCTGAGGCAAGAAAATCCGCCAATAAGCGCAGGACCCACCAAGATAGAGGAGGAACTTTGTCACACCAGTCTGTCTCATATTCCTTGTTTTCCTCCTTTGGGCCTGCTCCCTTATCATTTAGTTAAGAGTTTTGTTTTGGGTTTTGCTTAGTTGTCAGTGATTTAAAAACAAAAACAAAGTGCCATGAATCAGTTGAACTTGCACTTTCGTTTTAATACATGTTGTCAAGGCAATAAAGACCGATCTGCTGGCAATGTGTCATACCTTTTTGAGCTTCGTGTTTAATTGCCAGGAGGCTCTGTAGCAGAAATTGGCTTTGTAGATGCTGGCAAATAACATCAACTTTGGCTCTCGACTGTTTGCTTTCAGCCTGCCAGCCTTGCAAGCCTCATGTTCAACATCTGTTGTGTGGCCTTGTGAAGATTTAAGCCCATGGTTTTTAATGACTTAAAGGGAGCAAAAGTCCTTCACTGATAGGAATTGTCGGAAAAGGGTGATAGACATCCTCAACTGAACTGGAAAATGTCATTGACAAACTTCTGCCAAAGAACAAAGACAGCCAGCAGTGACATTGAGTACACACTTCTTTCAGCACTGGACTTAAACAATTGTTCTGCAGTATTATCTGAAGACTACAATGTTTATCATTAGTAGATCCCTCCTTCCTCCCCACAGTCAGGTGCCCTGATCCCAGCAGGAATCATGGCATAACGTGTAACTGATCTGGCATGTTCCTCATGGGGAAGAATCATACTCAAATGACCACTGACTTTCTGTTCTCTTTATAAACCATCCCTGAAGATGTATGAATGTACATAGCACCGTCTTTCTGGTACTTGGGTTTAAGAATGCTCCAAGCAGAGCAGGTGTCTTTTGGCCTTCTCCAACTCACCTTCCAAGTTCATAGGTCTGTACAAAGTAGAAAAATAATTATCGACTCCTTATTAACGTTAACAGCTTTCTAGTGAGCTCAGCTGAGGTCACAAATTCCAAGTGCTAAAATTATCTTGTCAGAAGAGCTTGATTGAAGTTGGAGGAAAATGTAATAAGAACTTCGCATTCCTCTGTAGAATTGTAGCTTCAAAGCTCCATAAAATCTCTCAAATTACTGCACTACAATTCGGCTCTTCGTTTTTGACTTTCCAAGTATATTTAGAAGTTTCCAGTCTCTTATTAATTGCTTTCCTTTGTTGATGCACTGGACTGCATGCTGCCTTTTGTTTCAGTTCTATTCTCCACCATTTGCCTTCAAGTCGGTTTTAGCTCCATGCAACTTCATATGAAAAAAGAATTCCTTAATTCTAATTGTACCTTTTGTAGCAAAGTCCTTCTATTTTTGATAGACTTAGCTTCTAGAAAAAGAGTAGAGATGCTTGACTGGTAGGAGAAAAGTTAGGAAGTATAATTTACTACCTGAAGTAAATTACTGGAAGGAAGGAAATTCTTTATAAACCATTCCCTTAACTCCCCCTGCTGCTCCTTTTCAAAAAAGGGGAAAAAATTAATGTATTGGAGAGGTTGAAATCCTTCTACTTCTTATATTAAGACCCTTCCAGACAAGTAGGTTGTACATGCTCATTGCATGTAACCACCATCGAGGGCTAATTGCAACATGCCAAAGAGGTTGTTGTTTGTTCTTTCACCATCTCTTACCCTGTTCCTCTAGCCACATTTACAGAAGCAGTGCTTCAATAAATCCTCTAGCCTACTCTGGTCCTAATTGTCCCCAAGCTGACTAATCGTGTTGGCATTACTGAGGGAGCCGATGGTGCTCCAAACCAGCTCCCCATACAAAACGTAAAGGAGTTCCCAAGCTGAAAAAACACGGCAGAGTGAATTTAATAAGTATTATTAACAAATTAGTCTGTTTTATATTAGGTAATTGGGTCACTGACTAAAATACTTTCAGTGGTCTCTGATCGCAGTATTTTTTCCTTTTCCCAAAAAGACAACATACTGTGATCAGGGACAAGTGGTTTCAGAAGAGGTACAGAGGAAGCATGGTCTAATCTGAGACTGGCTCAGCCACTGATTCATTGAAAGACCTTAGGCAAGTTGCTTGACATCTCTCTGCCTGTCACATGTAAGGGCCTGTAGCTGGCCTGCTTACCTGCCAGCTTAACCCCCAGACAGTGTAACGAGCACAGCTAGACCCCAACTGAGTTGCCTGTTTGGTCACACACCCTCTTTCCCCCACTTGGCTGAAGGGATTAGCATAACTGCTCTTAAGGGCAGCAGCAGGGTGCTGGCTGCTCAAAGCATTCGGCTGCATTAACTTCTGCTCCTGCCATGTTCCAGTCCCTCTTTTCTGCCATGATTTCTGCCATGCTCGAGTCTTATCACTCCCTTATTTCAGCCCTGTCCCAGCCTCATTCCTGCCTCAGACTCAGTCCTACTCCTGCCTTCCTTGACTCCAGGTAACCTGGTTCTGACCCTCGGCTTTGATTCCTGGCTCTGACTCTAGCTTGACCCTTGGCTTGGTGATTTTAGAGCCTCTGATTCTGACCCTCTGTGACATTCCCCAGGGTACAATCTGGATTGTTGAATAGCTGATTCCCCTTAATTCTCTAGTCTGGGGTGCCTTTTACACTGCTGTGCTGTGAACAGCCACTGCTCCCGGTCCTGCTCATATACAGCCACTAGCATGTAAAGTCACTCCCAGCTATGTTACATGAATGCTTTCCCAGCCATTCATGAATTACATATGCATATTCTTCAGTCTTAGCCTTGTTTCCCAGAAATGTGCAACTTGCACTGCTCAGTACCCTCCTGGACAGTATAAGCTCATAGTAAGTCCATCATTCCAACACTGGGTAATGATTATGCATCAGTCTTGTCATCCTATGTAGAGCTTCCCAAACACTTCAATCCAAACACACTGGTTTAGATAAAATAATAAAACAAAACAAGTTTATTAACTACAGATAGATTCTAAGTGATTACAAGTGATAAGGCATAAAAGTCGGAATTGGTTACAGAAGAAATAAAAGCACAAGCTAATACCTAAATGAACTTAAAAGCAAAATGACTTTCTCCCCATAAGCTGCAACAGTTCAGACTGGATTTCTTTTCAGCCATGTACCCCTCCCCCAGTTCAGAGTCCTTCAGGTGTTCATTGGTGTCATGAACAGAGAGATGGGAGGAAGAGAGGGGTCATGTAGAGGTCACAGTCTCTTGTTTTTATACCCTCCTCCTCCTCTTTCAGGATTACCCCCTGCTGGGGCGTAGAACAGTCTCCTGTGTACGTGAGATTTGAACAGTCTCTGGGATGAAATATAAATTTCTTGTTTACATCATCTCTGCCGCCTAAGCAATTAATAGTTTCTTAACACCTGTGGTCAGTTCTGTGTTGTTTCTGAAGAGCTAGTCTGGGGGCATTCTCCAGAACCAGAACGTATTTTAGTAACATAAAGCAAAATCTCATACTTTTGTATGCAGTGTTGTCACACACATTTTAACAGGGTAATAATATCCAGAAGATTGAGTTTTCAAATGATACCTCACAAGGCATACTTTGTAC